GACAGACAACACGGGGGGTAACTTGGGGTGCTTGGATTTGTGCAAGCACAGGAGTGAGAGGCTGGATTTCCAGCTGCTCTATCAGACAACAGAGCTGGGGAAGTCTTTGGCAAATTCCCCACTAACCCCCTCCTTCAGGTGAAGCCAGGGTGCCCACAGGACTGTGACCCCCACAGATCCACCAGGGAGAGCTGCCCAGGGGCAGCACAAACGCTGCTCTTCCCCTTCCTCTCCTCCCTGCTTTGTTTTTGGCTTTAACTTAATTGATCTGTATCCTGCAATCCTACCCGCAGGAGGAATGACACATCTGAAAAAAGCAGGAGGATTTGTTTAAAGTGAGCTGCTTGGGTTTTTCGCTGTGTATATATATAGAATTGCCTGGAAGTAGTAAATAGAATTAAACACTGTGGTTCTGAAAAACAGAATTCTCAGGGCTGTCTGTTGATTTCAAAGCTGACGAAAACAAAGCAGGCTTTGAAATCTTTCCTTGCAGAGCTTCCCCCTCCTCCCTTATCATATGAAAGATGGGCCTGATAATATTTGGGTTTTATTCTTCTTTTGAAACAGTTGAAAAAAACACTGTTTTCTCAGTTAAGATGAAAATCATGTTTTTAATAAGGTCAGTGTAATGTCTTCATTAGCAAATGCTGAAATAATTTGATGCAGATCTGGAACTTGACGGGGAAAAACTCCAGTTTGTACCCAAAATATAGAGCCACATTTGCACCAGGTGTGAACCAGTACTGCTTCCCTAAAATTACTGGTTCTGGGATAGCCTATTCCTGTTTAGGGACTGGCTGCTGTGTTTTTAAGTCACTCCCTCCTGCGCAGCCAGACTCAGAGGTTTTTGTTTGTTTTCCTGCCTGGCCCTGGGCTGCTGAGAGCCCCAGGGCTGGGCAGCACTCGTGGGTTTGGTGGTTTCCTTTCAGCTGATGGAGCAGGTGGAAACAGAGGGGCAGGGAACATGGGAGGAGGTGTAGAGCTCACCACGAGGAAACACAGGTGACGTTAATGGATGGGCAGCCCAAAATTAAATCAAAAAAATCCAACACACTAAGTCTGTACTCTGCTGAAATTTTGCCTACAAATATCTCAACCAAAGCTGCTGAGGGCTGTGCACTTAAGAGCCTGCCCTCTGTTGTGCATCCCAGGGACACACAGCAAGTCTTTGCCCAGCTCTTTGGAGGTGTGGATGGTACCTAGACAGCCCTGAGCAGCCTGCCACCACAGACCCCAAAGACATCTCTCCCATCCCCTGCTCTGAGGCAGGGCTGGCACAGCCCCTCTCCTGGTGTGCCTCTGTGGGTGCAGCAGGCGCTGGGGTAACGCCCGAGGCAGAGATGCACCAAGAAGACCAATTGTTTGCAATGACACATTCTGCATTTTAAATGATCTTTGACTTCCTGGCAGTTCCCCAGCATATCACCCCCTGGAATTCTGTCTAAATAATGTTTGTCAGGTGAAGCTACAGCTGGGCAGCAGGCAGGGCCCTGCTCCTCACTGGGGACCTCGAAACCCACCGCCGATCAATCTCCACAACCTGCTAAATGATAGATGGAATGTAATATAGGTCATTATTTCTTCCCTATGCGTGAAAATGAATTATTCAGTAAAGATTTAGATCCTTTTTATTATGACACTGAATTTATAGAGCATACAACACATAAATGCAGATTTCTACAGCCCCAGATAGATGAACTCATTCTCCAGGCAGCGTGAGGTGGATGCAGCCCCTCGGCATCGCTGCACAGCAACGACAGGATGTCCAAGGAACACGGCTGCAGCCTGGGAAACTGGGACCTGCCACCTTCCCTACCTGGAACAGCATTCCCAAGCCATGCCCAACTAGTTTAGGAGCCCAAGATCTCTTTGTTTCAGAAATCAGGCTCTCAGGGCCCATGTATCTCCAAGGAGATTTGAGGTCTCATGTCACTTTGGCCTTATAAATGCTCATCTTGACAAACTCTGCATCTCAGTTTCTGATATGAAATGGGAGTTGTAAAAATTGAAAGGAAATTGGTGAGGCTAAAACCTGCTAATGAGAGTAGGGGCTACCGTGAGTATGTGGACAGATGTGATTGTCCCAAATTCGAGTGTCCTGCAGAGCCACCATGGAGGATCTGGGCTGGTGTGAATCAATAGCAGTAACTTTCCTTGTTATTGGACTAAATGCTTCAACTTTTAATTGTGCAGCTGGGGAGAATGTTACCCCTGGCCGGCAGTTACAGATGTCAGCTTTGCCGTTCATTAGCTACTTCCCAAATTCCACTGGGACGTTGGATTTTTAGCATGAACATTAAAGGCTGGAGAGGAGGAGAGCAGAGGGCAAGCCTGCAAACTCTCAGTGGGCTGGAGGAAAATCTGGGAGTGGGGCTGGAACAGCACTTTGGGGCTGGGTGCTGTCGACCGCTGCCAAAGGAGTAGGACAGCGGCTCCTGGTTTGTCACCTGTGGGCTTCAGGTGCCAAGCGTGTCCCCAGAGCTTCCCTGGTGCCGTGGGTTTGGCTTCTGCTGTGACAGCAAAGTGCTCAGAAAGAGCAAAACTGACTGAACAGATTGAAACTGGTCACATCCCTGAACCCAGCCTCAGCTCTGAGGGAGGCGGAGAGAGAACGTACTGATAAAGTCTTCCCAAAGCTGTTTGACCTGTAACGTTTGCTGATGGAAGGGATAGCACTGGAGATTTCCTTTTAATATATAGCAATCAAAATTTCTTTCTGAGCCATAAGCAGCTGCACTGAAGTTCCTTCTGTCCATCAGCAAAATCTCTCTTGTGCCTGTTCATTCTGGAACCCCTTTAAAATTCTGCACCGCTGCCAGAGAGATTAAAGGGGTAATATAACCCCAGGAACCGCTCTCCTGACTAGTAATTTCCCGGTGATTATTACAAGAAATAGCTAAGATCTAAAGGAAGCTCAAAGGGGGGAGAAAAAGACTGTTCTTTAATCCCCCCATCCATTTCCTTTGCACATTGGTGCTGCTCACCCTGCTGGGGCAGGGCCGGGTCAGCCCCTTTTCCCTGCCCGCTCTGGAGGAGCAGAGCCTGCCCCACTGCTGAGCCAGAGTTCAGCACTTCATGGCAAAACAAACCAAATAAAGGGAATTATATCCCATTTTACAGTGGTCAGCATCACAGCATGAAGAGGGGTGTTTCTCCAGTGGGCCTGACCTCCCAGCCCTGCACACATCCACTCATTCCAACCTTGTTCTTTAGTCCCTGCTGGAAAGTACATCCACATACTGCCCCCAGCCCCAATGAAAATATTATAATCCCTGAGCTGGAAATAGTTGGCAACCCCAAAACACCTCTTGCAGGCTCGATTGCTGAGCTGGGAGGTCTTTGGTTGGGAGGCACTCGGTGTTGGACAGGTGGAAGAACTCAAAATCCACGGATATCTCTGAAAATGTAGGGCAACGTGGCTCAGTCCCACTGGGCAGGCGGCCCATGCTCCTTAATTTAGGCGGACCTGATTGCTTAGATAATGACACCAATACCTGGCAGCCCCATCCCGCAAAGCACTGCTCAAACACCGAGGGGGAAACGCAGGAGCTGAGGGGAAGCCCTGCCTGGGCAGTGCCTGTGGGGCCGAGGGGTGCCTTGGGATGTGGGGACACCAGGACATGGGAACACCGGGGTGAGGGAACAGCAGGGAACAGGGACACCGGAGCCCTGCAAGGGCACTGGGACATGGAGGAGCCCCAGGACACGGTGACACAGGGACATGGGGCTCGGGCCCCAGCCTCTTCCTCCGAGCAGCCCCAGAAAGCTGCAATTTAAACCCGGGGTGCCCGGGCGGTGCCGAGGGCAGCGTGGGTGCGATGCCCAGGCTCGGTGAGGAGATGGCGCCTCTCGGTAACGCCCCAATTCTTCCCGAGTCCCTAAAATTTAATTTTCCTCTTCTGGACACCCAGCCCCCAGAATTCTTCCCTGACGCCCGGCTGGGCTGTGCGGGGTGGGGAGCAGAGCGGGGGGCCGGCAGCAGCAGCCAGCTTCAGCCAAAGGCCGCCCGTCGTGAGGGCCGGGGGCCCGGGCAGGGGGTGACGGGCCGGGGGGACAGTCCGGGGGCACAGTCCCATGTCGACAGTCCCAGGGGACAGTCTCGGGGGCACAGTCCCAGGGGATAGTGTTGGGAGGACAGCTCTGGGGGCACAGTCCCACACGGCCAGTCCCAGGGGACAGTTCTGGGGGCACAGTCCCAGGGGACAGTTCTGGGGGCACAGTCCCAGGGGACAGTTCTGGGGGCACAGTCCCACGCGGACAGTCCCAGGGGACAGTTCTGGGGGCACAGTCCCACGCAGACAGTCCCAGGGGACAGTTCTGGGGGCACAGTCCCACGCAGACAGTCCCAGGGGACAGTTGTGAGGGCACAGTCCCAAGGGACAGTTCTGGGGGCACAGTCCCACGCAGACAGTCCCAGGGGACAGTTCTGAGGGCACAGTCCCACGCAGACAGTCCCAGGGGACAGTTCTGGGGGCACAGTCCCATGCAGACAGTCCCAGGGGACAGTTCTGAGGGCACAGTCCCACGCGGACAGTCCCAGGGGACAGTTCTGAGGGCACAGTCCCATGCCGACAGCCCCAGGAGACAGTCTCGGGGGCACAGTCCCACGCGGACAGTCCCAGGGGACAGTTCTGAGGGCACAGTCCCATGCCGGCAGCCCCAGGGGACAGTCTCGGCGGCACAGTCCCACGCGGACAGGGCCGGGTGTCGCGGACACGCGTGAGGGACGGACGCGCGCGGAGGGGGAAGGCGGGAGCTGCGCGGGGAGGGCGCGGTGACGTCACTGCGACGTCACAGAGGGCCACGCGCCGGCGGAGGCCCCGCCCCCGCGAGGGAGGGGCGGGATGGAGGGAGGGGAGGATGGCGGCGGGGGGAGGGAGCGCCGGCGCGGCGCTGAGCTAAGCCGATCCCACGTGTGACGGATCTGGCTGCTGCCCCAGCGCCTCTCCAGTGAGATCCTCCGGTAGCGGAGGGAGGAGGAGGAGGAGGAGGAGTCGGCGCGGCCATGGAGGCGGACGGGAGCCAGGCTACCTCGGGGAGCCCCGGAGAGGCGCAGCACGACCCCGGGTAAGTCGGCGGGGCGGCGGGGGCGCGGAGCGCGGCGGCGAGGGGCGGTCAGGCGGGCCCGCCCCGCTCCGCGCCGCTCCGCTCCGCGCCCCTCCGCCCCGCCGGGAGCTGCCCCGTCAAAATGGCCGATCCCGCACCGGCGCTCAACTCCGCTCTGCTCTCTCCCTCCAGCAAGATGTTCATCGGCGGCCTCAGCTGGCAAACCTCACCAGGTAACCCCCGCCCGCCGCCCCCTCCCCACGCGTGTCCCGCCCCGCGTGGGCCGCGTCCCGCCGCGCCGGGCCCTGCCCGCGCCCCCCCATCCCTGACCCTCCTCTCCCTCTCTGCTCTCTCTCCGCAGACAGCCTTAGAGACTATTTTAGCAAATTCGGAGAAATTAGGGAGTGTATGGTCATGCGGGACCCCACCACCAAGCGCTCCAGGTAAAACCGCCGCCCACCCCGCTCGGGCTGACAAACTTCGCGAGTTGCGGTCGGGGCGGGTGGACCCGCAGCCCCCGGTGGCAGCCCCAGCTCCCACCCCCGCATCCCCCCGCACGCCTGGGGCGCTGCGGGAGGGCTCTCCCCGCCCGCATCCCTCCAGCCCGGAGCAGGAAACAAAGCGGCCGGTGCAGCCGGAGAGGGGCCGGGGGTCGGAGCCGGCCGCCCCCTGCTCCCGGAGGCTGCGGGGGAGGGCGGAGGAAGGAGGGGGACCCAGCGGTTTATTTTTATGACTTCTCCCTTTGGCTCTAATTCTCATCACCACCCCCCCCACTCCTCTCGCAGAGGCTTCGGGTTCGTTACGTTCGCGGATCCGGCGAGTGTAGACAAAGTCCTGGCTCAGCCGCACCACGAGCTGGACTCCAAGACGGTAGGTGCTGCGAGGGGCTGCCCGCCGCCCTTCCCGCACGGCGGGGCCGCCACCCGGCCGCTCCGAGCCCCGCTCGGGCCGGTGCCGCGGGCGGTGCCAGGCTGTCATTGAACCGGGACCTTGCGTGGCTCGGCTTTTCCTTTATATTTTTTATAGACTCTGCCGTTTAACTTGCCAAAAGCGGTAACTTTCTTTTTTTTTTTTTTTTTAAATTTTTTTTAAAATCGGAATTCACCCATACCGACCGCTGGCTCCTCCCCCGGCCTTATATTTTATTGAGCGGTGACATTGAAAAAGCTGTGGAGTAAAATCCAACTTTTTTTGGTGTTGGGCTGCGGCATGCTTTCTGCGGGGAACTTTGTGATTCTTTTGATTGATTATTTATGTATTGTTGAGCGCGTTTCAAGGTGGGAGTGACTTACTGTCAAACCGTGAAAGCTGCTGCTCGTGTCATTTCCCAAAGTCATTTTTTGGAGAGGTCCCCTCACCTGTGATGGCAGGGCCCCGGCGAAATGCACGCGGTAATTTATGGGAAGCTCTGCAAGAGCTGGAGAGTGGATGTGGTAGAGAAGCACAAGTCCTAATGTGTTGTTGTTTCTCCAGAGCTTTTTGCTGCTCTCAGTCTCCAGTGCATAACATAAGGAAAAAAATCCTTGTGTGAGATGCAGCTGATTTTTTTTTTTTTTTTTTAAGAAACATTACACATGTTTGGGGTTTTTTTAAACAACAGTTCCACACCTGAGTTTGCCCCCTGCCCCAATACGGTGCTTTCAGTGTTGGGTCAAACAAAAGGCACCGGGCAAGTGCAGCTCTGGGCCCTGCTTTCTCCCCGTGGTCAAGGCCAAGCAAAAAGATGAAGTTTTGTGCCTCCTACTTCGTTGTAGTTTGGAGCCTCGGCAGAGCTGGGAGGGGAGGGGGGAAGGACACTGGTAGAGGTCATCAGTGCTCTGGTGCTGCTGGCTCTGGAGGGGGCTGTGTTTTGGGAAGGGAACTGTCTGCAGAGACATTCTGCTGGGCAGAGACATTCTGCTGGGCAGATCCAGCGTGGTCCCTGCTGTCACTGGGGTTTACAGGCTGTCTTCTGGGGCTTAAGGGGTTTATTTTAACCTGAGCGTGGTGTTAGGAGCAATCCTGTCTCGGTGCTGCAGGATCTCACGGGTGCCTGTGTGTGCGAGGTTATAGTTAAATGAAGAAAGGGAGAAGCAGGGAGCAAACATGAGGATATGTTCTTTTAAAAATGTAATTTATATGGAAACAAAAAGCCTAAAGCTCTTGTAGAAGCAGGTGGAATCTAGTGTTTTAATTCGACCTACAGATTCTGCTGGGCTTGCCTGAACACGAAGCCCATGCTTTCACATGCCTTAATAATTTGATTTTAGGTTTAATCAGATATGGTAAGATAACTGATTCAACCGTGCTCCTGAAATTAAACTCACCAGACTTTTCATGTACAGCTATATTCTCTATGTGTTTTTAAAGATAGATTTAGATAAGAAGAACAAAGGCAAACAGTATCTTGAACGAGTTTAAAAAAAAAAAAAATCATGGGAGGACACCCTGTCATATTTCTGACTATAATTAGGTCCTCCCCCAGCTTTTTTCTTGTATCACAGTCTAGTCCCTGCAATGTATTAATTTGCTCTTCTCCGGGGGAGGGGTGAAGAGCTTCACCGGGGCAAATCTGTGTGATAACGACTGAATCAATCCAAACACAAAACTGACCTGAGAATCAGTAACGCAGCTTCAGAGTGAAGCACAGAGCCGGGCAGGTGCTGTCAGGCGTGTGTTTGTAGAGCATTGTAGTGACTGTTGTGCGGTATAACAAGGCATTTGACTCTGTTTCAACGTTCAGCACAGGAGGCAGATCGGTTGGGTATTGGCATGGAAACGTCGCTCTTGTTTACAGTTACGTTAAAAGCTTTGTTTAGGTAATGGCCATTCATATCAGAAATAGTATTATAGTCATTTCCTAGAGGACTTGTAGATACAGTAAGTAGAATTGTACCTAACTAACTAATTTTTTTTTTTTTTTTTGGTAGAACTTTGGTTTTTTTGTTTTTGTTTTCCTTTTTGGTTGTTGTTTCAATAGTTGACAGGGTTATGCAAAAGGTATGGATTTGCCACATTCGGTGCTAGTGTTTGTTTTCAGGGGCTGATGGTGTTTATGCAAAAGGTTTTGGGAAGGAAAATTCAGTTCTTTTAGAAAATCTGTCGCTGTGGTGCAAGGGACTCCATGCTCTTTGAACTGACCTTCAAAAATGAATGTGTTGCTTTGGAGTTTAATGGCTCTGCCAGCTTTTTACCAGCAGGACTTTGCAGTGATGTCCCTCTGGTGGGCCTGGTGTTCTTTGCTGGGAAATCTTGTAGTTTTGGAGCAAACATTGAAAAGTGCATATTTTTCCACCTTTGGGTATCGCTGTGGAAAATCCGTACCTGTTGTATTTCCCCAGTAGACAAATGCCTAGTCAGTGCTGAATATATTTGTAGATAATGTTAATCTCTATGAAAAGGTTAGCTCTCTAGATAAATAATTTTACTTTTTATGCTTTTTGAACAATAAAATGGCATGTAATCGCTCATTTCTCAGGTGTGTCCTAAAAAAGATACAATATTTGTATCTGATAGAGGCAAATCAGTTTATCAGTTGCACATCAAATGTCTGCGGTGTTTCCCATTTTGACAAATTAATTGAGTAAAACTGCTTTTTAGGAGAGACCCGTGGTTATTTAGCAGTGACAGGAATATTTATCACCACAGGAATAACAATACCAAATGGAAACATCTCTTCTTCAGGGCTTGCTTGAAGGTGGGGGAAACACAGCAGAAACCAGACCCACACTCTAAACAAGCCCGTCCTTCTGAATGTCCTTAACCCTGTCAGCGTTAGTGGCATCAGCCGGTTGTACAGGCAAGGACAGCACAGAAAGCAGTTGCAGGTTGCACAGTTCAGGTAGGATCCAGTACTTCAGAACATCCTTTTGCAGACCCTTTGTGAGGGGGTGTCTGCGTGCAGGTGCTGCTGAGAGCCAGCAGCACACGGGCGTTTGTTTGGTTGCGTTTAGGGGAGCTGCTGTTGGAAGGTCTGATGTTTTTGTTTACATCCAGCCTCCTGCCTGCCTGCTCCCTCCAAACACCACTGGGTGCCTTTTCTTTGTGCCTGCGGTGGTGCCTTTTTGGTTTCATGTAATTTTTGAATGGGAGAGAGGAGTCCCTTTTTAGAGATGACCCCCGCGGAAGTTGTGAGGTTGCAGAATTAGCGTTTTGGAGTGCAGAGGGGAGCCAAGGCTGCATCCTAAAGCAGGGCAGGGGGTAAAGCAAGGATTTTTTTCCTCCCTTTCTTTTTGTCTGTGGTGACGTGCTTCATACATGGACAGTCAATAACTCCTGAATGGAAAAGCTTTTTTAGGAAGTTGTTTACTTTTGAGTTCAGTGCGTGTGTATTTCACACACATGAAACTCGTTTGTAACTTACTCTCCTTCCTTCCTGCCCCATCCCAGAAATTCCCCTTTGGAGTTTTCCATTGCTCACATATTTTCTTTGAGAGTGAGTAAATCCGATCAGTTGGGAGTATTACTATGGAGGAGCCTCTAGACCCTCAAATGTTTCAGTTTTAATAATTGAAATGTGAATAATTTGACTTTGCTTTTGGCTTTCCTTTTTTGTGTGGTGTTGCTTGTCAGTTAGCTAAACAAAGCAGAAAAAAAGAAGTAACCTCAAACCCAAGTGCAGGAAGGGGCAGGTGTCAAAGGCACCAAGTTAAGGTGTTGGTCAGGATTGCTGACCCTCCTTCTGTGCAACCTCTAGGGCATGTGGATAGTCCTCAATATGCAGTTTTGGTGGTAGAGGCAGCACCCAGAGACTGATCCAGAGCTCCCTGAGCACCCACGGGGATTGCTGCCCAGAAGATGATGCAGGAGAAGTGCAGAAGAGATGTTTTCTTCCTGTCTTCCCATCTCCCTGCCCCTGCCAAACTCCCCAGACAAACCCAGACTGTGACCTCTCATTTCCAGAGTAGCTCTGGATGACCGAGTGTGCTGAATTACAAGCCTGAGAAATGAGGGATTAATAATTCAGTGATCTAAAATCAAAATAATGTGAAATGACAACCAAAGCTACCTTGTTGATTTCCCCTTTCTTTTTCCCCAGATTGACCCTAAAGTCGCGTTTCCCCGACGAGCACAGCCCAAGGTAAGTAGGAGGATCGATAATAGGATTTCAGGCACACAGAGAATCATTGTTGCCAGGCAGTTCGGGTTGCAGCCGGGGAATTGGCAATGAAAGCTTTTAGAGCTGCTGCCGGGGGGGATCAGAGCGTGGCCGGGGCCCAGGAGGCCGCTCGGTGTCCGAGCGGAGCCGCTCGCTCGGGCTGGGCAGCGCGAGCGGGGCCGGTGCTGCCGGAGCCCCGCTGCTCTGGGCTCCGCGCTGGCTTTGTGGAGAGCGTTTGGATTAAGTGCAGGCTCCAGGCTTGTTTTGGGCTGAGCTTTCAGTTCTGCGGTTGTGATGGATGGGGATCTATCTCTGCCTTCATTGTTTGCAAATTTTCTTTTGTGTAACTCAAGAGACGTGCGCGGGGTTGTGTGTAAGGCTGGCATGGCAAGTTTCTGCTGAGGCTCCGAGCCCTGGGGGCCGCTGGGTGTTGTTCTGTGAGAGCAGGGGGACAGTGAGGTGTGAGTGTCCAGCTGGTCAGGCTGGCCGGAGCAGTGGCCTGGCAGTGGTGTGGCCAGTCCTGACAATTCTGCCCCTGTGCCCCGTCCAGGTGCCACTGGCTGCCATTTCTGCTGCAGCAGCTGCCTGTGCAATACAAGTGGTTGTTGCTCTTTAGGTTGTGCCTAATGAAAACTAATCAGTTTCAAAGTCAAGCTTGCAGCGTGTGAATTTTGGAAGCCGGAGGCGGAAAGAAAACTTTTGTAATCGACTTTTTTTTTTTAATTTGTTTTTGAGAGTCTATTGGAAAAACTTAATTTAACTGATGTATGGCACTTGTGTATACACATGTCATCTTGGGTAACTTCAGTCTTCTGGTAAAAATGGGAGAAAAAGGCTGCAAAGTTAAACATGCAAGTCAATAAGGAAAAGTGGTTTAAAGTTGTTGGTGGGAAACTACCTGACCAACTGCTTGGGCTGTTATTGCATACAGCTCCTCATGAAAGCAAGCAGTGTAACTGGGTGTGTTGAACCATGATGTTAAGTATTGCACAAAGTAGGCATCTAGGAAAAACCCTGTGTCATTTAAAACCTCCAGGCATAGCACAGGAGAGGTGCTGGGGAGCTCTTAAAAAAAACCCCAAAACAAAACAAAAAAAAACTCAAACCCCAACAGCCTACTCACAGAATTTTAAACCAGACTAATGTAGGCAAATGTTTAGAGGTTCTTTTCTTCCTAGGACATATCTAATTACTAATTGGTGAATAATAATGTGCCTGGCTTGCTTCTGCACTGAGCAAAGAGTTTATAGTGTGTGGGGCTTGAGGCTTCTGGATTATGTTGTTGGATTGATGCCATCTGTAATATACAATTTAAAGTTACCAGAATTTTGATCTTGAGCTTGATGTGCCTGTCCCCCTTCCCAATACCTTTTAAAGGTTAATTTACATTTTAAACTGTCTTTAGTGCCAGTTACCTGTTTCTACAGTGTTATTTGGAGAAGTTTGTAATGGGTACAACAGAGCTGTTAAGCTGTCCCATGTGATTTGTTCTCTAACAATTAAGGACATGTTTTACGTGGGGGATATTAGTGAGTTAAATTTTTCTGTTAAAGAATGCAAAATCAGGTTATGTTGACAAAGGGCATTTTGTTTTTCTACACATAGGGGGTTTTTTCCTTGGTTTTTGGTAACAGACATCTTTCTAGTGTGGGGCAAATGCTGGAATGGACATCAAATTCCACTCTTAGCAGGAGCTCGCTCTCTCTGGAGAGGTCAGCAGTGTCTCTTGGTGCTTTTTACACAGTTGTCCTTTCTAAAGTGTTGGGATTTCTACAGGGCACTTGAAAAAAATCTGAAGATTGAAAACAGCCTGATTTGGAGACTGGAGAAAATCAGATGCAATAAAGAGCAGATTTTACATCAATTATGGTGTATTATTCTGGCAAGCATTTCATAATCTGAATATTTTGTTTTCTGTTTTTTTAATTAGATACTGAATTAAGGTTTTGGACTTTAGTTGTTCATTTATCCCAGTTGAATAGCGAATGCTCAGCGTTAAAATGTGACTGTACTTTAGTCTAATTAACTAGCTAATGCTTGGGTCTGTGGAGATTAATGGCATTTAATGAAATGTCTCTGTCTCTCTAGGTGCAAGGGGAGAATTTGTTTTTTGTTTTGTTTTGCTTTTTTTTCCCTGAGTAATCTTCCTTCCTGATATGTTTAGCAAAATGGGGATTTGTTGGGGATTTTTTTCTTTTCCTGTGCTTTTCCTGGCAGTGATGGGGACTGAGGTGAAGGAAGGCTGGGGGTGCATTCCCCCTTCTCCATCCCTGTATCCCTGTACTTAAGGCTGAGCTTTGCCAGTGCCTTTGCCAGCCCACACTCACTTGTTCCTCCCCTCCCAGCCCAGTGAAACCTTTCCCTGGGGCTTTTCAAGCTGCATCTCCGTGGTTTGACACCTCTGTGCTGGTGCAGATTGGCTCCTGAGCAGGCAGTGGCAGGTTGGAACAGCCCAGCGTTCTTCCCTGCTCTCCTGAATGACCCTGCAGAAATGCCTCCACTGGATTACCAGGATGTGTAATCCTGCTCTCCTTGGGAAGGCCAGCACGACTCAGCCTATTGTTTTAGGAAATCTGCTGCAGGGTTTAACTCCTTGGGGTTCTGGTGAATGTGTCTCCTTCCTCGGGGCTGCTGTTCCTTGATGAAAATCTGTCTTGCTTCCCTGCTGGAAGGCACTGTGTAACAGGAGATCGTTTGTAACTCTGCTGACTTAAAAATCCTTCAAACGCAGCAGTGATGGGGTGCCAGTAGTTTTGTACCCCCTTTTGAATGTTGAATACTACAATAATTGACTTACTATTGCACACAGCCTGCCATTTCTGATGTTGCCTGCTCTGTTAGGTTAGAGAAGGCTTATCCAATTCAACATTTTCATTAGATAATTTCAAATGTGAGCAATTTCCTCCCTCATCCCTCTGCCTTAGGGATTTATTTCAAAACCAAAACAAACCTGAAGAGCAAAAGGACAGCAGCCGTGGTCAATGAAGTAGCTCCTTGGCCATGAAAATGTCTTTGTTGCAGGAATTTGGATGCTTTGTTGTGCAGAGCTGTGTATGGAACAGAGGCAGGTAAAACTTCAGCCGAAGTTTCCAATGAGTGAGGCTGCCCAGGTGTGTTTTGTGCTCAGGCTCCCCCAGAGTGGGGTGGAGGTGTTTGTTCCTCTGCACTTACCCCAGGAGTAGGGAATTGCTCCCAGTTCAGCAGGCTGGAGCTGCCTGTAGCAAGGTGCCTGGGCACTGTGCATGTGCCCTGCTGGCTGTGGCTGGAGCCTTCCTGGAGTGAAAAAGGCAGGCAGGTACCTGCTGCTGCTGCCCTGGGTGACAGGCAGGGGCTGGCACTGCCCAGTGTCCTGTCTGAGTGACCCTGACTGCAGGTGGCCATTGCATGTTTGTTTGGGGGACAGAGCTCTGGTGGCCCTTTGGTCACAAACAGCAGAAGGACTTGATTTGGTGAGAGGTGTTTTGTCTGGTGATGGGCTGGGGATGCAGGAGCCGTGTCTTTATCAGGTGTCCCTGTCACAGAGGTGGTGCAGGACTGTCCTGGCCCCTCTGTGCCCCAGCCAGCCCTGGATCTGCACGGTGCCCGTGGCCAGCTGGGTTTCCTGTCTGGCTGGCACGTGGGCAGTTGTGCACATCTGGTTCTTCTTGGGCAAGAGGCAGTGTCAGCAGCTCTCCTTTGGTGTGAGACTGTGTGAAGCTGCCTGTTCCAGAGCAGCAAATAGAGGGCATGCCCTTTCAGGATAACACCAGGCTAACCTGGGATTTTTTTTAAAGCTAACCAGTGGATTTGGATGTCTGATTCCAATTAAGTTAGCTGTGGGTGGGGTGTCTGCGTCCCTGGCTGTCTGATAAGCCTCAGCCAGAGAAGCAGGGAGAGATTTTATTCCAAAGCAAATGATGGACTTTGAAAACCAAGAGTTCTATTTGTTTTCTCCCCTGCTTCTGCCTGTAAACTCCTCCAGGTTAGTCCTACTGCTTCCCATCTTATTTTAGGTGCCAGGTAGACTTTGAAGTTTCTTTTTTTTTTTTTTTTTTCCTCAAAAGAGTGTGAACTGGACACAGTAGCAGAACTCAGGATTCTTCTTTTCCTGCCACCCTTCCTTCCCCACCAGGATGTCAAGAGCAGCAGGGTCAGACCTTTTCCCAATGATTTTTAAAAATTCTTTTTAGATTCCCCTGAATTTGCAGGTCTGGCTGGAGTAAGAGAGGAAGTATTTCCTGATCTTGGCATCAGGCATAGATGAGTAGCTTGGTAATAATCATGGTACCATCTGTGTGCAGAGTAGTGTGAAGTCCTTCCCAGATGGTGTGGGGGATTTCTTTGGGTGGTCCCTGGCCACTGTTTGGGTGTCTTGTTCAACCAACCTTGATGTGGATCCCTTGTCCAGGGTAAGCTGCTCCTGGAATCTGCTTCCCTCTGGCATTGGATGGTCCAGTGGAAAAGTTTCAGAGTCTGAGTGTTGGCTGATGAACCCAGCTGCAGGCAGTGGAGGATCAGGGTTTTGGAAGCCCTTGTTTTTGGGCTGGGGTTTGTGCTCTGTGTGGTGTGGCTGAGGCAGAGGGTGACCTCTGTCCTTGGATGTCACAGCCAGAGGAAGAAGGGCTGTGCAGAGCCTTCTGTGGAGTGCAGTGAGTTCTGTCAGGAACAGGAGTGGGCTGGATTTTTATAACTGTTGTATGTTGGAGATGTAAACATGTATTTCTTCTCCCCAGTCACTCAGGTAGATTGTTCATGTTGTCCTGAATCCCCACAGACTGTCTTGTGCTTGTTAAAATGTCTGTATTTCCATTCTCATTGCCTAAGGATGTCTTTCATGTTAGGAATAGTCCTAATGTACTTTCCTTCCCTTTGACATACTGCTAACTAAAAATTAAAATTGAACACTGTCTAACATGGGATTTTTTTAAAAAGGAGGTTCTACATTACCTGTGTTTTCCTGAATTGTTGGATTATTTTTAATGGCACCTACCAGGTGACTTTTG